TTCATTGTCATTTGTAATGATTCTGCTGCATTTGGCATTTGCGAAAAATTTGAAAGTTGGTTTCTTGTTATTTCATGTTGTTGGAGATAATATGGGAGTGGTATTTCATTTTGCATTTGTGATGGTTGATACGAGTGTGCAGTCATTGGATTTTGTTGTTGAATTGGTTGAAAAGATTGTGTATTAATTAGATTTTGTTGGTGAATTGGTTGTTGATGTTGTGCATCTATTGGTTGTGGAGAAAAATTTCTATGATTTGTACGTGTTTTCTGTATTCCTTGTCTACGATATTCTTGAGTATTTGGTGCAAATATATCTGGTTGTAAGAAATCATCATCTGAGGATAAATAATCCATTTGATAAGATGTTTGTTTTTTATTTCTATTTTGTTGAAAAAATGGGTAATTTTCACTGCGATCCTGTGGAGGATTTGGTTGAAAATTTTTGGAATTATATTGGGCCGTTGGGTTATCCCAGTTTCGAGGTTTTGTATATTGATTAAAATTCCTTTGTGGTTGATAATTTGTTTTTGATGGATGTGTATAATTATAATTATGGTCTGCAAAGTTGTTTCTAGTGAATGTTTTGCGTGTTTTTGATGGTATTGTCATGGGTCTGTATGTTTGGTAATCCATATGTGAATATTTAGGGGCAACCGAAGGTTTAACGGTTGATTGTAAGGTTACCTGTGTTTGTGAAGGATTTGTATTTCTTGGTGTTGTTAAATTTGGGCGTATTGGTGAAATACTTTGTTGTGTAGTTGTTGTGTGTACAATTTCTTCATTTATGAAGTGTGATGGTGTCTGGATATCTTGTTGAGTAAGATTCCTAGTTCCATTGAGGTTTTCGTTGTGTATGACTGTAGAGTTTAAACTATTATTTTGTGTATCGGGTAAAAATGTATTATAGTTTAATGGTGTTGCATCTATTGTTAATGGTATTACTCTTACATAATCTCTTATGTAAGATATTGTACCTATTGCTTGACTTGAGATTGATTGTGGAAAGCTTATAAATGCGGGATGAGACCATTCGGGGGTCCCAAACATAATCTGATTGTTCTGTGATAGCGGTATCATCGTTCGAATTTTGGGGTCTAAAATTTTTTCTTGCTTGTGCAATTAAATCAATATTGTGTGTGAAATAATCTATTATGAACCATGCTAAAATTTTCTGTAAATCGTGTTTGGTATGTTGTGAAACGTCGTCTTTCGTGAAATTTTCTTTAATGATGTTTAAATAACTAGAGAGTAGTGTGATTTCATGTCGTACTCTTAAATGTTTAGATGTTTCTGTCGGTGAGACATTTGTTAATGGGATTTCGTTTTCTAATATCGAAATATAACTATATATTATTGCGAAAACTTCATTGGTGAAAATGGAGTTTGCTCTTTGTGAGTTATGGTATTGGATGCTTTTTATATATTCTGAAAAAACTTTTGAAAATTCTAAATCAAGGTCGTCTGTTTGAATAGTATATGTTCTATTATTATGGTTTGGGGAAGTGAATTCTATAGAGTAGATTCCATACTGTTGTGTTATGTTGCATATATCTTTTAGATAGTGATCTATGATTTGTCTTTTGATTTTTACATCGGGGAACTCTGTTTTACATGGACTGATTCCGGGTTCAAATAAATTTACGAGTAAATTTTGACAAAATATGTGTTGTCCTCTATCAGTATCTGCATCTACTATAAAAGGAAAGATTTCATCATCATCTGGAGTTTCGTCACCTGGGGTGTGTGTTGAACTCATTTTTCCGTTCGATGACTGTTAATATGTAATTATTAATATGTCGAATTGGTTGATTCCAATTGTATAGATGTACTGGTTTGTGTTTATACTGTTTTTTTTATTCTTCTTTTTCCTCTTTGTGATGAATTTGAAGTTGTTTCTGAGTCAGAAAAATATAATTGATCGTGGAGTGGGTAATTTTTATCTATTGATTCTTTTAGTTTGTAAAGTTCGTCTAAACTGTTGGTTTCTGATTCTGAAAATGCGTTTCGATTTTTTGAAAATCTTTTTCGTGTTATTTGTCTCTGTTTAGTTATTATTTTCCTCTTTAGTGTTTGTCGTTTTGTGCGAATGTATCCAACTGTTTGTGTATGAGGTGTGATTACAAGGTCGTATTTTTTGTTATCTATTTCACAATTGTGTAAAATGATTGTTTGTTTATTTCCTAGGTTTTTAAATGACATAAGGTTTAGAATGACGGATGCAAAGGTTGTTAAATGATTTCTATTTTCCTAAACTGTTAGTTCTTACGATTTTTTGGTTAGCTTAACCTGGGTCTATTTGTTCAGGGTTGGAGAGAAAAGTATATCGATTCCGAAGAATGATTTTTACTTTCTCGTGACTAGTATAAGTTAAGGTGTTAACTTACTTAATCTTACTTAGGGGTAGTGATTGTGTTCAAGGGTTGGAGAATAGTAAATCGATCCACAAGGTTCAGGTATAATTAGAACGCGAGTAGTTCGTTAGATACTATTTTAAACTTACTAAGTCTAAGATTTATCCTGGGTCTGGTAAGAGGGGGGGTCAAGTGAAGGATGAATAACCGAAGTTCTTCACTGTTTATCCTAATTTGAATGATTAGTTTTGTTTAAAAATTTCTATTAGTCTTAGGTCTTTAGAAAGGGTTGGGTAGTGAATCGACGTTTGAGGTCGTTAGACACTAATTAAGTGGGTGGGGGAGAACAAAGTTGTTCTGTTTGATCCAAGGATAAGCCTTGATGATCAAATTTGAAATTTAATTAAGTAGAAAATGATTTAAGATCCAAGGATAAGCCTTGATGATCTGGTTTTAAAATTAAGTGACTTTAAGTTTTAATAAAATTTTAAATGTGTGTAAAGGAAAGATTTAGTGTTTTGATGATATTAGTGGGTTTATGATTGCTGTTATGTTTTAGGTGATGAAGCTGGAACAACAGGATGATTTATGATTACTAACCATTTATTGTCATGCTACTAATTTTTATTTTTATTTTCCAATAAATATTTTTCAAACATGTTTTGTATAATACTGCAGAGTTTTAGGAAAACGATCTTAGATCTTTTTATCAATCGTTATTGTATAATATTAATTTTGTTTAGCGCCTGAAATGATTTTGAAGATTAACTTCAAGGTTTTATGTTTGCAAATGGAAATCTAAATTCATTGCAAGTAGTATTCGAAATCTAAAAGTTTGTTCTGGCTTTTGCCGAACTATCATATAACTATACGGCAAGTTTCTACTTTGTCGTATGTCGTCTTTGGTTCGATGTCTTCTTCCAATTCCGGGTAGTTCTATTATGGTTCGGAATATTGGCTCTGATCTATTGAGTCGGAGAGACATTTCAATTAAATTATTGTCGTATAACATTTTGTAAATGTTTTTGTCTAATTTCTAATCTAAATTTGGTTAATTCTAATCTAGTAAGGTCTTGTTCGAGACTTATGGTCGCACCAGATGAGTTAGGACTGGGGTGTATAACTCATAGAGTAATTTCGTATAGGGTACACCGTCTGCTCGTCACGCTATCTTATTTTCGGCCGGATAGATTCGTGCAACTTCTTAGTCTAATACCGATCCTAATCTTACTCTTATACTATCTAGTCTCAGGTTGTTTAACTAGTCTCTGCTAGGCTCAATAGATCTAGGGTATACTGGTTTATTGCGGCTGCTGAAGTGCTCGGGAGAGTCCAACTAATTTCTAAGTTAAATTCAAATCTCTCTGGTGCTGAAATTACAAGTAACTTCAGCACTTACAAATAAGTGGGTTGTTAGTTAGATGGATCATGATTGGTTAATATTAAATACTTTACATTGGTAAAACATTTAATTTATCCAATCATAAAATATAGTTTAGATCAGGTTCCAAAGGGCAGTTGGAAAATTCAAGGCTCTGTCCTGATATACGAGCAGTGTGTTTTTATATCAAAATGATGTACATGTCGTAGAGAAACGACAAAAGTTATCCAAATGATATTTAACAAAAGTATAAAGTGAGCTTGCAATCCTGAGTGGCTCAAATGCCAATTCTTCCAGGGAATTGATGTTTTTATTGACAACGTGTTGAATATTTACAACAATTAAAATAGTTCTCTTCAATTGTTATTAATCTTAGTACGAAACGTTTTCTTTGAAACTGATATCAGGTTAACTGATTTTGTTGATCGACTTTGATACGTCTTTAAGAAAAGAGGGCCCTTTTGAACGTGCTCCTTCTTTAATAGACTAAGTGAAAAATCTCTCCCCTATAACCAAATGGCAAATTCAAACCGAAAAGGCCTTCATGCACTATGCTTCAATCTGATTGGCTGAAAAATAATACTTTTAACCAAGTGAACAATCTTCCTCCCACATTGATTTAGTGGAGGGGGAGATAATTCACTTGGTCAAAAATGGGTGCGTTAGGGTTTAAGTTTGATAATAAACAATATCAGCGGCAAGTTGAACTAGCTCCCTGTGAAGCTTGTATCAGCTCTTTTGACTTTTCTATCATTTTTAAGTCTTTTGATTGTGACTCCCTAGAATGCGGCTCTTTTCCTCTCCCTCCATCTCACATAATTATCAATTTTATGGTATAACGAGGGGTTTAGTAGGGTTGGGTTTGAGGACTAAATATGTTGTCATAGCCTAATTAGTCCGCATGCCAATTTTTCTAACAACCGTACAATGTGAACAGACACATTACTAAAAAAAGTCGCTGGTCGGGTAAAAGGAAAAAGAGCCGTCTTCTGCGCGTAAAGATTGTGCTGAAAAAATTTCCACGGGAAAAAAACTGTTTGTTTTTCGCACGGTTTTCTTCGGCGAAATAGTTTACACGACGAAGAGGTTAACTGTATCAGCCTCTGTTCCTCCTTTGCGCTTCGACTGCTTAAGTATCAATCTCTTGAAGTTTGCCCTTTCTCTTGAAGGATGACATGATTAGAACGTAATGCATTGGGATAAGACCTTGATTGAGAAATGCCTTAGACATCCATTTTGGACGCATAAAACATTTGGATTGTTTAGATGGTTTTGACTCAAGTTCGAAGAGTGCTGCAAAAACCGAGTGGCCAGCGTGAAATTTCTCGTTATTGCTCGCAACTGCTCAAAGACGCCGACTTTCTGTTCAGTCCTAACCCGCCCAAATCATCGAAACAACGAGTTCTGGAGCTGAACGCTAGTTCGCAGTCAGTTCAAAACAAGGGACTGTTACACGAATGTGGAAACGTGAACAAAAGGAATATTTCACACTCCAGTTGGACTCCTGTCAAGGATGAGTTCTTGAAAGACCACATTAAGCTACCTGTAAATGGTTAGTCTGCTGGCTTTTTCTTTACTCGTTGGTCCTGTCGTACGTAGTAATGAAACTCATACCCTTTTAGTTATACTAACTCAACTGTTAAGCATATACAAGTTTAGTAATTTGTTATAAGTTTTCCCCATATCGCAATAAGGAGCCGTAGTTACACGATCAAAGTGCTGGCAAGATCAATCAAGGCGACAGGTATGGGTTTTATCAACTGGGTTTCCATGTTATTTACGGCCTCCTCTCAAATTGCACCGCGAATTTTGAGGGATTCTATGCTTGTGTATATATTTTTTGTACCTGCGAATGTTCACAACTTTAGTGACGAGGCTTTCACGAGGAATGCAATTCAACATACAATTTTGCAATTATTGATGTTTTTGCGTTATGTTTCTGTTCTATGTTTGTAGTTGGTTAGTGTTTGCTGTCTGTCTACGAGAATTTGTTGTTCTGATTAGTATACTGGAGACAGCCGGGAGTTGCACCCGTGACCTCTCGAACCCTTAGCGAAAAACATACCACAAGACCACTGTCCCATAATTTAGCTTCGATGCGTTCCTACTTTTTGCAAATCAAAATCCTTGCGTTTTTTAGCAGTTTTTCTAGTTTTGATGAGTTTTTATGGGTTGAATAATTATTTTAAGTTGTTTACTGTTAGCTATTTTCTACTGGAAATTAACAATTGTGTTCTGTAAGTTTATTGGGGACTACCGAGAATCAAACCAGGGACCTCTCGTAACCTAAGCGAGAATCATAACACTAGACCACTTTCCTAAGTATTTTGGTTCGATGCTTTCCTACATTTTTCGCAAATCAAGATCATTGCGTTTTATAACTTTTTTTAAAGTGTTGATTCGTTTCTCTGGGTTTAATAATTATTTGTTGTTTACTGTTAGCTATTTTTTTCTACCAGAAAAAATATATATTTTTCTGTTAGTATTTTGGGGACAGCCGGGATTGAACAAGAACACGGGACCTCTCGCACCCAAAGAGAGAATCATACCACTAGACCACTGTCCCACATGTTAAGCTTCGATGCATTCCAACATATTTCGCAAATCAAGATCATTGCGTTTTTTAACAATTATTTTTGTTTTTATGAGTTTTTGTGGGTGTAATAATTCTTTTAAGTTGTTTGATGAGTTTAATTGATTTTCTGAGTTGCATAATGTTTGCTGTCTTTTTACTTGAAAATGTATTTTTTTTGCTAGTTTAAATGAGACATCCGCTGTATAAATCCGGAACTTTTACCGCTCTACTTGAGACTCGTACCTTTAGATCACTGTCCCATATTTCAGCGTCGATGCTTTCCCACTTGTTTCACAAAAAAAAGAATGTTTAGTTTTTATCCGTTTTCATCCATTTTCGTGAGTTTGATAACTATTGTAGGTTGCTTAGTGTTTGCTGTCGTTCTACAATTTATTATTTTCTGGTAGTATCCTGGGGCCAGCGGGGAATTGAACACGGGACCTCTCGCACCCAAAGAGAGAATCATACGACTAGACCACTGTCCCATGGTATTAATTTCGATGCAGTCGTACCTGTTTCACAAATCAAGCGTGTGTTTTTTTTGTCCGTTTTTTTTCGTATTAGGGATTTTAATATTTTTTTTCTAAGTTGCTTAGTGTTTGCTGAATTTTTACTGAAGTTTTTGATTTTTTTCTGCTCGTTTAACTGAGACATCCGCAGTATAAACCCGGAACTTTTACCGCTCTAATCGAAAATCATACCTCTAGACTACTGTCCCAGATTTAAGCATCGATGCATTCCTACTTGTTTCACAAAAAAAATTGTTTAGTTTTCATTTGTTTTTGTGAGTTTAATCATTTTTGTACGATGCTTAGTGTTTGCTGTCGTTATACTAGAATTTATTATTTTTTGTTAGTAATCTTGGGACACCCAGAAATTGAACCCGCGACCTCTCGCGCACGAAGCGAGAATCATACCACTAGACCACTGTCCCATGGTATTAGGGTCGATATAATCCTAAATCTTTCACGAGTAAAAGTTTTTCTTTTTTTGTCCGTTTTTCTTCGTTTTAGCGATTTTAATTTTTTTTTTAAGTTGCTTAGTGCTTGCTGTCTTTTTACTAGAAACTGTAATTTTTTTTCTGCTAGTTCAAGTGAGACATCCGCGGTATAAACCCGGAACTTTTACCGCTCTACTCGAGAATCGTACCTTTAGACCACTCTCCCATGTTTCAGAGTCGATGCTTTCCCACTTGTTTCACAAAAAAAGAATGAATAGTTTTTATCCGTTTTCATCCATTTTCGTGAGTTTAATAACTATTGAAGGTTGCTTACTGTTTGCTGTCGCTCTACTACAATTTATATTTTTATGTTAGTTTTCTGGGGACTGCGGGGTATTGAACATGGGACCTCTCGCACCCAAAGAGAGAATCATACCACTAGACCACTGTCCCATGGTAATAATTTCAATGCAGTCCTACCTTTTTCACAATCAAGATTGTTTTTTTTTTGTCCGTTTTTCTTCGTATTAGTGATTTTAATAGTTTTTTCTAAGTTGCTTAGTGTTTGCTGTCTTATTACTAAAATTTTTGAGTTTTTTCTGTTCGTTTAAATGAGACATCCGCAGTATAAACCCGGAACGTTTACCGCTCTAATCGAAAATCATACCTCTAGACTACTGTTCCAGGTTTAAGCAACGATGCATTCTTTTTTGTTTCACATAAAAAAAAGAATGTTTAGATTTTGTCCGTTTTCATTTGTTTTAATGAATTTAATAATAGTTTTAGGTTGCTAAGCGTTTGCTGTCTTTATACTAGAGTTTATTAATTTTCGTTAGTAATCTGTGGACAGTCGGTAGTTGAAACCGGGAGCTCTCGGACCCGAAGCGAGAATCATACCGCTAGACCACTGTCCTCTGACTTTCGCTTCGATGCCGAACAACGTTTTTCGCAAAGGACAATCATTGCGTTTACTAACCGTTTTTTAAATTTCTGCTAAGCGTTTGTAGGTTTAATAATTTTTAAAAGTTGTTTACTGTTAACTATTTATTTTACTAGAAAATCTGAACTTTTTTCTGTAATTTTATTGGGGACAACTGGGTTTGAAATCGAGATCTCTCGCACCGTAAGCGAGAATCATGCCACTAGACTATTGTCCATGTATTTAGCTTCTATGCATTCCTTCATACTTCGCAAATCAAGATCATTGCGTTTTTAACAGTTTTTTTTTTGTTTTGCGGGACAACAGATAATGGAACCCGAGACTTCTTGCACCATAAGCGATAATCATTCCACTAGATCACTTTACCATGTATTTAGTTTAATAATCATTTCAAGTTGCTTAGTGTTTGCTGTCTTTATACTATAAAGTCTTTTTTTTAGTACTCTGGGGACAGCCGGGAAGTGAACCCGGGACCTCTCGCACCCGAAGCTAGAATCATACCACTAGACCACTGTCCCATGGTGGTAGGTTCCACATATTCCTACATCTTTCAAGATTATTCGTTTTTTTGTCCGTTTTTCTTCGTTTTAGTGAATTTAATTTTTTTTCTAAGTTGCTTAGTGTTTGCTGTCTTTTTTACTAGAAAATGTATAATTTTTTTCTGCTAGTTTAAATGAGACATCCGCGGTATAAGCCCGGAACTTTTACCGCTTTACTCGAGAATCGTACCTTGAGACCACTGTCCCATGTTTCAGCTTCGATGCTTTCCCACTTGTTTCACAAAAAAAAGAATGTTTAGATTTTATCCGTCCTCATCCATTTTCGTGAGTTTAATAACTATTGAAGGTTGCTTAGTGTTTGCTGTCGTTCTACCACAATTTATATTTTTATGTTAGTTTTCTGGGGACAGCGGGGTATTGAACATGGGACCTCTCGCACCCAAAGAGAGAATCATACCACTAGACCACTGTCCGATGGTATTAATTTCAATGCAGTCCTACCTTTTTCACAATCAAGATTGTCTTTTTTTATCCGTTTTTCTTCGTATTAGTGATTTTAATAGTTTTTTCTAAGTTGCTTAGTGTTTGCTGTCTTATTACTAAAATTTTTGAGTTTTTTCTGTTCGTTTAAATGAGACGTCCGCAGTATAAACCCGGAACTTTTACCGCTCTAATCGAAAATCATACCTCTAGACTACTGTCCCAAGTTTAAGCAACGATGCATTCTTTTTTGTTTCACATAAAAAAAAGAATGTTTAGATTTTGTCCGTTTTCATTTGTTTTAATGAATTTAATAATAGTTTTAGGTTGCTAAGCGTTTGCTGTCTTTATACTAGAGTTTATTATTTTTCGTTAGTAATCTGTGGACAGTCGGTAGTTGAAACCGGGAGCTCTCGGACCCGAAGCGAGAATCATACCGCTAGACCACTGTCCTCTGACTTTCGCTTCGATGCCGAACTACGTTTTTCGCAAAGGACAATCATTGCGTTTACTAACCGTTTTTTAAATCTCTGCTGAGCGTTTGTAGGTTTAATAATTTTTTAAAGTTGTTTACTGTTAGCTATTTATTTTACTAGAAAATCTGAACTTTTTTCTGTAACTTTATTGGGGACAACTGGGTTTGAAATCGAGATCTCTCGCACCGTAAGCGAGAATCATGCCACTAGACTATTGTACATGTATTTAGCTTCTATGCATTCCTTCATACTTTGCAAATCAAGATCATTGCGTTTTTTAACATTTTTTTTTGTTTTATGAGTTTTTGTGGGTATAATACTCATTTTAAGTTCTTTACTGTTAGCTATTTTTCTACAAGAAAATATAAGTTTTTTTCTGTAAGTTTATGTGGGACAACAGATAATGGAACCCGAGACTTCTTGCACCATAAGCGATAATCATTCCACTAGGTGGCCGCGTTCCAGCATTTCAAAAAATTTTTAGGTGGGGTAGGGCCCCCACCGGTACAAGTAATCTCCCTAAATTGGTCTTTAGAGAATTTTGACAAAAAAGTCGATTCTCGAAATTGTCAGGTTAGATTGGTCTAATTTTTTGCATGCGGCCCTAAAATGTCAAACGAATAGGGGTTTCCTTTTGTGAT